TTTGGGATGAAGAGCAGGGCAAGGCACGTTTTGCTGGAGACTGCAATTCACTCAGTGTCCCCTCCCCGAAGCAGCGAAGCCCCGATTCATCCCCCGTTGCCACGGGTGCAGCGTCGTGCCCCCGGTGCTATCTGCTTCATGAGCTGATCCTTGAAAAAGCAGCTCCAAACGCGAGTCCGAGTGGTGGCCATGCACGAAGGGACGAGGAAGCGTTTGCTCATCTCGGCTCTATCATTAATTAAAGCAATTAGCCCAGTCAGGCTTGGTGAGGTACAAAGCCATCAGGTGGGAAGAATATACTCCATTATAGAATGGATCTCTCCGTCGATATAACCTTATTGCTCTGCGGATTAATGGAGGGACGTGAGGAACAGGGACACATCTCTCAGGGAGGGTTTGAGGAGGAACCTGAGGAATGAGACAACACAGTTTCACTAAAGCAAAAGTGATCTCTCTGGTCTCAAGCACCCGATTTTTTTAGCCTTTCTATCTCTCCCTTCTGGGCCAGAAAAATCTCCCAAGCTCATGCCCTGGGGCTTGTTGGTGCTTTGCAACCAGCAGGGCTGGCCTGGGAGTCCCAGGAACTCCGAAATCAACGCACGGATCAAAGCTGATCATGAGGCACAAAAGCGAAGCCTGATGCTGGGCATGAAAACAACCACGTGGCTGTTTAAACTGCCGGTTGGTGTTTGTATATTCAAAGTCCATCACAGCCTCGAGCCAACTGCTTTCCTGGAAAGCGCTGAGTCAGGACCATCAGCGGGGAAACTGAGGCACAGCTGGAGGAACTTGGTCCAGAGCTGCCTCACACGTGCTCTTGTTTTGGTCCTTAAACCTCTGGGGTAGACTTTGAAAATAAACAAATTATTTACAGCCTTGTGGTGCCAAGGTTTTCCCTGAAGCCGTCCTGGCTCATTTCCTGGGAGCACACATACGGGCTGTGCACGGCGCCCGTCCCAGCGGCGATGGCAGGAGTGTCCTGTGGGCCAGGCAGGGGGATCTGGGGACACGGGTCACCTGGAGTGTCCCCGTGCCGGGGAGGCGGGGGGCTTGCTCCACTGAGAAACACAGCCCCGAAGGCAGCCCCGTGAGCCGCGTGGGGAGATCGATGTCCTCCTGGAGCAATTCAGCACTGGCCCCCCCCTGAGCCGGCTGCTCACCCCCGAGCCTTAATCAGATCTTAATCACTCCGGCTTAATAAGAAAAATCACAGACTTGGGGAGGGATGAACCTCATGGCAAGGAGCGTTTGTGCCAGAACCACCCCAGGCTGCTATACGGGCTCCCTCCTGCCTCCAAACCCTGAAATGGCCAAAGCATCACCCCCCAAAAAATGCTCATTCTCACAGCTGAGCCCAAACTGCAAGATTTCATTGCAAAGCCTCAGCGTGCCGGGCCGTAGCGCTCTGCTCTGAATCTAGGAGCGAGACTAAAGGGATAACGCCTCAGCTGCAGCAAATATCAACCCGCCTTTGCGGAGACACCGCGAGGCGCCCGGGTCTCTCCAGCGCTGTTTGGACACTTAAAAGTGGATTCGCTTTGTGCTCTCCACCGCGTCCCCATTCCGCACAAAATGGAATTTGCTGTAAATTTTGGTTTTTTTCTACAGACGCGGGGCTGGTGGTTTCTGTCACAGCACCCGCAGCGTTTGCCATCCCGGCACCCAAATGCGGAGCTGTGTTTGGGTGTGGGTTGGGTTCAGGCCTTGCTGCAGGGTTTTCCTTCTAAATTCAAGTATTCTCCCCCAAAATCTGACACGGCCCAGCCAGCTCAGAATCCCTGCAAACGCGGATTTATTCATTCATTCCTTTTGACTCATTTTTTTAAAAAGGGCACCAGGTCGTAGCCCTTGAAATGTTTCTAAATCTGCGTTTTCAACCTTAAATTTTTTTTTGTTTTTCCACTGTTAAAATTTTCTTTTTCTTAAATAATCTTAATTTGTTTTTCACTCGAGACCGATGGGGGGGGAAGGCAGCGCGCAGGAGCCCGCGGAAGGGACCCGCGGCCCCGCCATGAGCCC